TAACATTTCTAAGGGAGAGTCCTTTGTGGATGAAATGCCACTTCCACCCACTTTTCCATCTCGTAAGGAAGAAAAATAAAGATCAGAAGGAGAATTTAGACTAAAAGCCAACTAAGTAAAGCTAATTTTTTACACAGAGGAGTCTTGCTAGCCGGAGAGAGGGGCTTTGTTGAGTGGAACAGAAGAGACATTAGAGAACCTACAGCAGATTTTAAAAATACTTCCAGCTATCTTTATGCTGAAGAGGAATGTGCTGTCTGTATTACAAATACACACCGAGCCAACATTTCCGAGCAGATTTGGTACTCCCAGATCATTGCAGGAGCAATGTTTGCAGCTGTGAACTGAGTAAATACAACTACTCCAAATGGCTCCTGCAAATACCCTGTGTACCTTGCCATGGGGCGGTTTATACATACATGAGAATCATAGAATCTCAGGGTTGGAAGGGACCTCAGGAGGTCATCTAATCCAACCCCCTGCTCAAAGCAGGACCAATCCCCAACTAAATCATCCCAGCCAGGGCTTTGCCAAGCCTTACCGTAAATGGTTACAAGCACAAAATTGCAGGCACAAAATTTAGAAGGTGCATGTGGAAGCGCAGCCTGCAGGGGGCACTAGACCACCCCAAAGTTATGTGTTTTGTTTAGCCTTACGGGTGTATGTAATAACTTAATTGGAGCAGCAAGTACAATATTTTAGCATGAAAATGCAGATATTTTCCCTGTTCAATGTCTGAGCGCTGTCTTTTATTCAGTGACACCATAACCTTACGATTCGAGGATCTCAGAGCGCTTTACGAGTATTAATACATTTACCCTAGGCACTCCTGAGAGGTGACTATTTTTATCTAGTTTTACTGAACCAGAAACAGGAAAAAGGGGATGTGACTCACCCAAGGTCATGCGCTCAATCAGGAATAGAACCCAGGTCTCCAGAATACAGGTCCTAACCACTGGACCATGCCACTTCCCTTCACCAGAATAAAACAAGACTCCAGAATCCTAAATGACAATGCTCACTGCCAGGCTGTGGGGGCAGCGAATAGGGACAATGGAGCAGAAGACTTGAGTTTTCCTTGCTCTGCCACTGACCTGCTGTGCAACCCTAAGACAGGTTACTTCACCTCTCTCTACCAGAGAATATGGGAAATGACTGCCTAGGAAGGAGTACTGCGGAAAGGGATCTGGGGGGTCATAGTGGACCACAAGCTAAATGTGAGTCAACAGTGTAACACTGTTGCAAAAAAAAGCAAACATCATTCTGAGATGTATTAGCAGGAGTGTTGTAAGCAAGACACAAGAAGTAATTCTTCCGCTCTACTCCGCTCTGATTAGGCCTCAACTGGAGTATTGTGTCCAGTTCTGGGGGCCACATTTCAGGAAAGATGTGGACAAATTGAAGAAAGTCCAGAGAAGAGCAACAAAAATGATTAAAGGTCTAGAAAACATAACCTATGAGGGAAGATTGACAAAATTGGGTTTGTTTAGTCTGGAGAAGAGAAGACTGCGAGGACATGATAACAGTTTTCAAGTACATAAAAGGTTGTTACAAGGAGGAGAGAGAAAAATTGTTCTTCTTAACTTCTGAGGATAGGACAAGAAGCAATGGGCTTAAATTGCAGCAAGGGCGGTTTAGGTTGGACATTAGGAAAAAACTTCCTAACTGTCAGGGTGGTTAAGCACTGGAATAAATTGCCTAGGGAGGTTGTGTAATCTCCATCATTGGGGATTTTTAAGAGCAGGTTGGACAAACACCTGTCAGGGATGGTCTTAATACTTAGTCCTGCCTTGAGTGCCGGGACTGGATTAGATGACCTCTCGAGGTCCCTTCCAGTTCTATGATTCTATGGTACGTACCCTCCCTCATGGAGTGCTTCGAGATTTATGAACAAAAACCCCTTCGTAACAGTTAAGTATATTACAGTAGGGTTTGTTTTTGCTAGCAGACCACATTCACCCACATGCAAACGTTCAATCTCTTCCCTACACTTGATACATAAGCATCATGAAAAACATGGTGAGAGCCCTGCTATAGCAGACTTCTGTAATGCTGCCATCACAGAAGGATGAAAAATAGTTTCCCCTCCATGATATTGCAGTGAAGGGGATCTAGTGCTTCTCTATGAAGCGCTGCTGCTCAGTTTCAGTAGCATTTCAGCAGTGGACAGACGACCATACAGCCAGGAGAGTTTACAGCCATTCAGAAAGTGGCTTGCAGTTCCCATTTTAGGCAGAGAAAGTTGTATCTAGATCACTTTAACATAAGTTAATATAAAAGCAGGGCAGACTGCTGCAGGCTGGTATGTGTGAACCAAATCCCCCATCAGACAAGCTAAGGCTGTCTCTCCCCCGATCCAGAGAACATACCAATTGGCTCTTCCCATCTCAACGGGGCGTCTCACGATTTTAGCACTCCCATGGATATGTAGGAAGGGTGTAGAGATTTCATCCACTCCATTCTAGTTCAGCCTTCCCTCTACTACCCTCTCATCTCTTACGTAGGCCTTCTCTACACTAGAATTTAAAGGTGCAGTTAGCATTGTTCTATCCCAGAAACGTTCTTATCCCACCCTCATCACTGGAGTATCGGGAGCACCTTCCCTTAGGGCATCAACAATATGACTAACCTTGTCACTTGTGGTTCACTCCCCCAGATGGAAAACTGCAGGTGCAGTGTCGTTTTGCTAGGGTGATGTTCTTGATGTCCATGTTGCTCTGGGTTTATGGTTCAGGAGGCCCATGAGAGAAGCACCCCGGCACTTGGAGAGGAAGTGGGAAGGTGTGGGATGACCCTTAGTTCCTGCATGAGTTCCTTCCACAGACTCCGAGCAGCCCCCCAGCTCAGGCTCCTGCACAGACAAGTTTTACCCTTGCTGTAGAAAGTCCCCTGAGAGCATATATGAGCAGGGAGCCCAGGGCTTAACTCGAACCGGTTAGCAGTTATTAAAAGCCACGTGGCTTGTCTACACTAGACTTTTAAAACATGTTAGCTAACGTTACACCTGTAAACTCAACCTGGGCAAGGCCACACTGGCTGCAGCAACCCCAGCTCATACCCAGCCATTACAAAATTCAACTCACAAAATGGGGCCCACAAGCCTACTTCGCTCACCACCATAGACTCAAGGAATCTCTGTCTTGCCATAATGAGCTGAATGCGATTTGGAGCAGGGAGTGGCCTTTGTGTGTTTGGAGAGTGCCTGAAGTTATTGATACCCAGTGGCACCAGCATGTAGCAAATTCTCACGGAACCCCCTCCCCATTAACAGCTCTGTGTAACCCCCAAAGCTGGTCTCTCTCACCCCCGGAAGTTGGTCCAATAAAACATATTCCCTCCCACACCTTGTCGTCCCCCCCGCCCACATTAATAGGCACACTCAGTGTGAGACTGCCACCTAGTGGATTACTTTATTTTAAAAATTCTACAGTACTTCAACCTTTTTTCTGGGCCTGGATTCGGACTAATTCCTATATTTGGGCTCCATCAGGTGCGTGATAAGCAAACTCCCCAGTTGAGCTATGGGAAAAAGAGCCACCAGGGTATCAACTGCCCTGGTCTCACTGAGGAGAAAACCAGCGGCTCGTTGCTGAGCTGATGGAACACAAAAGTGGTCTAAGAAATAAAGTTGACACAAGGAGAGCCATGAGGCCTCTCTTACCCGGAGAGGGGATTAGATATGCATGAAGGGGGGAGTGGGAGAGAAGAGGTGAATGCTAATTTGAGGAAAAGGAAAACAAGGTGCAATGCGGGAGTGAGGATCTTTATAATGTGGAAAAAGTTAAGTTGAGATGTGCAAGGAAATTCCATTAGTGGAGAGGACCAATGGGCAAGATAGAGCAGGGCGTAAGCAACGGGGTCTGTATGAGGGACACTGATAAAGGCAGAGCACAGAGTTGTAGTAAAAGGATGCTTGGTAAAATCATAGCAAGCAAAATACATCTATAGCCTTTATACCATTTTTGATGGCTAAAAGGCTGCTGGTGATAGGAAGGATAATCTAGTGCAGCGGTTCTCAATCTTTTTGGGCTCAGGACCCATTTGCAAGTGTTTATGGTCTGTCATGACCCAGTAAATAGTCTGGGGGTGGAGATCCTGCCCGGCCCTTACTTCAGTGGCAGCTCCTGCTGTCTGGGCTTGGCTCTTCGCTCCAGGCATTGCAACCTCAGGGGTAGCAGTGCCGCTCAGGTTTGGCCCCACCTCCCTGGACCAAAGCTGAGAGTGGAGTTGTGACCTGGCTCATGGGGTTGCAGTTCCACTCACTCAAATTTGGCCTATCTGGACTCCCCTCATCATGACGGCTGAGCCAAACCAGTGCCTGGAGCAGGGAGATGAGCCCAGCCAGCCATGTGGGAAAGGAGCTGCCACACGACCCTCTGAAACATTCTGGCAATGCAATTTTGGATCCTGACCCCCAGGTTGAGAAACCCTGATCTAGTGGATAGGAACTTGGAACACCTATCTCGGCTGGTGTGGTGCGGTGCTGGTGTGACTTTGGGCATGTCACTTAATCTACCCTGTGCCTCAGTCCCCAGTCCTCCACATCTAATGGGGATATGCTTCCATACTTCTTGGGGTGACACATGGACAAAATCCATGTGTGACTGGGAGGTGCCATGTCATGCTATGGAGATGACAGCTAGTAGCTAGACAAAACAGCAGTGCTCTCCCCTGCTTTAACACAAGCCACTCACTCTTACACCAACATCCCTAGGCCGTCTTGCTTGCAAGACATCTTTTAACCTTAGAGTAGTCAAGCAGAGAGAGAGTTTGAGAACAGAGCCCCTTGTGGATCAGCACAGCACTGGGCCCGGTGTACTGGGCAGTCTTTCAGAATAACCAAGGTCACAGTCACCGTCGCTACAAAGGAGGAACCTGTTGAAATGGAATGTTTTATTTTATTTGACAATACGAGGGGTGGAGAAAAGTGGTGACCAAAAGGAAAATGAACGATCAATACAGGATTGGCTGCTGTTTAAAAATAAACACAATCCAAGGGGGAGGGAAAACACTATGCACTAGAGTGCTTTTTTATTGACTGCCTAGCAATCTGTTCAGACCACAGGTCCATCTCTCAGCACTTCAATGCTACAGATCACATTCAAGTCATGTGCAAATGAAATAAAACAGGAGTACAGCATTAACAGTAGTGCGCTCCAGCCCAGTATCACTTTGAATCAATCTCATTAACCGCAGCAGAAGCCCCAGACAATTTGCCTATTAGTTCAGCGGTGAGTAGTTCGATGCCAGTACTGGATAACTCGATACAAACCCCCAAACAGATTAGAGAGAATTATGTAAACTTTGTTAATTAGCCTTTGGCTTAAACAACCCTAACAGTTTCAAGCAGACTCTACAGTGGTTAGCTGGAGCACACGCTGGTCAATGTCTGCGTGAACATTATGGAGGATCACACAATCTTGGTCCTGATCATCCTCAACTCACATCGACTTCCGTAGTGCTCGGTGTCCTGAGAATCAGGCCCTCTGTCAACAACCAAGTCAGGATCTGAAGCTCAAGGGTCTGGAGGGAGCAGACTGGGCAGGCCAATGGCAAGAGGCAGCAGCCAGAGCGAGTGGCCTCTCACATTCACACCCAGAACAGGAAGTAGGACACACACCAGATCCATTTTTCAGAAGAGGAGGTGTTACCAGTGGCACTCTAGGAGGGCCGCGAAAGCTTTGCCTGAGGCATACTGCAGAGTAATCTACCAGGGTGTCCACACGGAACCGAAAACATGCTTTAAAAAAAAAATAATTCAAATAACCGTTGAAGGCGCCTCCCAGCGTGAGCTCCTCTCTTTGGGGGAAATAGAAGCCAGGATTTAAAAGCCACCATTATTAGCAATAGCCCTACCAGGGCTGCGCTGGCCTCGCTCCAAATGTCCATGGCCAAGACGTTTCCACCGCTCTCAGAAGCGGCTCTCGCCGCAGTGCTGACTCTCCCATGCTTCTTACGGGTAGGCTGGGGGAGGCACATGGCCACATGGAGCAATAGATCTGCACTGAAAGGAGTCTTACATTTTTGTCGTCATCAATTTTACTTCCTCCCGCAAGGTACGTGAACAATAATTTAGAGCAATCAAAAGCCCAAGAGCAGGAATGTGAGGAGAAAATCTTGGCTTGTGACGTGCAAAGCCAGACTGATGTACTAACTCCAAGACACAGAATTTAAGGTGCATTCCCCATGCTTAAGGGGAAAAATAGCCTACACAGGTCAGCTTTTAATATAGAATCGGCCAGAGGTCAGATCTGTCTCCAGTCAGAACAGACTCAAATCAAAAAGTGCTAGGAGGCTTTTCCTAGCCAGCAAGCGTCCCCTTTACACCCACAGAAATATTGCTTCTATGCTCCAGGGGGCAAAATTCACCCTTGCACAGCTTACTTTGAGGGTTTAAAGTGGGGCATAGGCATCATGCCAGCCCTCTGCAATGGGGTGAATTTAGGCACCTACTCAATTTACTCCACCTACTTGATGCCAGCAGAATTGGTATCTCACAGATTACATGCTCCAGTGCTATCCTCACCTAGATTTTTAATAATTACTAAGGGGACATCAAACTCCACTTAGAACATTTTCATAATAGCCCCCTAGTTTGTACCTGAATAACTGAAAATATATATATATACAAAAATAAAATAGGTCCCATTTTCTTTCACCAGAATTATTAAACCGTTAACACATTAAAATCAATACTGTCTTAGAACCGTTCATTCCAACAGACCCAAGAAAATCAAAGATTGCAAACTCACTCTGTCCAACAGAGAAGCAGAACTTAAGGGATGACAAAATAACTTGCCTCAGCTAATGCAAGGCCGATGAACATTACAGTCAAAGAGCTGAGCCAAACAGTTAACTAACTGGACCACAATGCAGCGTCTGACTTAAGTGACTTGTGAATGATGCTTTACAGGAAAAGAGGTGCGATGGGAGCTGAAGGGTTAAGGCAAGCGTTACCAAGTGTGTTTATGGAGTACCACCCTAGAAGGGATGAAGGCAACACCATTCTAATGAATCAAAACAAGCTAACTCTCTGCATCACCCAAGGGCAGCAGTGGCCAAATTCAGCCATTACAGCTGTGCTCAGGTAACACGGAAAGCACACTGTCATCTCTCCATCAGTTAAACATAAAGGTGCTAAAATGGACATTAACAGACACAAATGAGATGAAATCCGTGACTATCAAGGTGCTGTTTGATCATACGGAAGTCGTCCTTTCAAAAATATTGTTTTTCAATCTTAAACAAGTACGCACCTCTTTCAGCAGGCTGGGGAGCCTACAGCTAAGAGCTAAGGTATCTGGGGTGGTAGAGGAAATCAGCACTTCTAATCAGGACACCTTGGTATCGAGAAATACTGCCTGTTGCGTAGATGACCCCAAGGGACATGATGCTCTCTACATTGGCTTGGTTCAGGACTTCAAAGCATGGCTCAGCTCCCAGAGATCACTTCTACTGCCTGGCTGGTAGCAAACGCATTTAAGCATTGTCAATTTTTATCACTCTCCTTCCCGCTCTTTTTGTAACAGGTCAGTTTCTCCCTCATTAACAAGACAGAATTCATTTCCGAGAGAAAGGAGCTGCTATCCCATATTTCCCTCCCAAAGACGCTTCACGTAGTGTCCAATCTGCATCGAGAACAATACAGTCCTGTAGCTTTAAAGCTGCACCTCTCCAGTAGGGGATTTTCTAGCTTACAGGGTGACTGTGCTGGGATTCTTGTAGCAATGGCCTCCCCCCCCCGGAGGAGAGGGGGGGATCTTCGGGATTGCAGGGCTGTATGGCCCTTAATTTGCAAATAAACTGCACCCCGCATCTGCACTGTGGCTGAAGCCACATGCTTGCAAGAAGTGTGCTTTAATCAGGATTGTTGCTAGCACAGTTTCCACCAGAATACAAGCGGGGTCTGTACCTGATGAGGGTGCAGGGAAGGAGATATTTGCTGCACCCTTCTAGTACATTCACATATGGCCCCTACACCACGGGTCACTGACCATCAACACAACCAGGCTACACTGGGACTTTTCTGCGGCTCACTGGGCTTATTCCGTGGCACAGCCCAGAGCACTAATGCATGGATTGAAACTGCTCCCCCACGCAAGAAGAGTTATTTTTGAACCAGCACTGCCTCAGCTTAAGATTTGCAGTCGATAGGGATCCGGCTTCAACTCCTCTTCAAGGTTATTCCGCTTTTTCCAGCCAACAGTTGTTCTTGGATGCGTTGCACTGGGAACAAGCACTTCCGACTTTCTGTGCCTGGCGACCTTGGACAGCAATGCCATCTGTACTGAATCTAATAGCTTGGTAGATATTAAACAGCTCTGCGGCGAAGGGGTCTTTTGCAGGTACTTTGGTTTGCAACTATACAAGAGTAGAATCTGAACATGTGTTGATCCCACAGTCTAGCCAAACAAGTTATTACGACTTCAGCCTCTCCTCCTGCCCCAGTGATCTCTCTTAGCTGTAAACACATTTCTTCATTCTCTAAGTCAGGCAATGACTTGTATTGTCACTGCGTCATGTCCATCTTTGGGTTGCGGCATTAGCACTAATACCAACTGCAAGAACACTAATGCACTTAACCCGCTCCCTCCCCGCCCCACAGCCGTTCTCCAGCGGGCTGAACTAACGTAATACAGTACAGATCCATTACCTAACGCAAAGGATAGCTCCAGACCTCAGAGACTGATATCGCTTACGTGGAGTCAGTTATAAAGGCAATTAGTAAAAAGTAATCCTATATCAACACTGCAAGAGCATTGTGTGGGCTACAAGAGAATCCAACTGCCGGATACCACTTCAGTTTCACTGCAGTAATTGCTAGAGAGTGGGATATAAACATATACAGGATATTGACTAGATTTCGTAGGCAGACTGACACAGCTGCAACAGTTCAGTCCATCACTAGGAATGTTAGAAACCGAAAGCCCGCCTTAGACAGTCTCATTTTCATTATCAAGAGAGTTACAAAGCTTCCTGCGCGAGCGATACCGCCTAGTGCAGTAGGACTTGTCATTTCATCACTCCGCCTTCTCCTACATAAGGGAAACAGGTTTAGATCCCTCCCCCACACACCTGTAAAATTGTGTGCTGTTAACTAGCAGTCATCTTAAGCAGTTAGAAAAAATAAACCCAAGAACTGGTGAGGCGATTCTGCTGGTGGACTTGCACCTTCTCGGTCAGTCTGTGCAGTTGGAGCCATTGGTCCCACATCACCTGGAAAATAGAAGACATCCAAGCACCAGAATGAGCGTTTACGGTTTGACAGATCTTTAGCATGCCTTGAAATAGCTGGGGGGGGGGGGGGGAGAGGGAGATGGAGTGAGGGGGAGATGAAGGAGGGGCATGGGCATGTGATTCTCCTCCTCTTTGAAAATACTTTGAAGGAATCAAACCCACTTATCAAGACTTCACTGCAGAAAAGTATGCACTAAAATGAACATGTGTCCTAATGGGATAAAGACAGCTATGACTTAGGACACCATTGGTTCCTCCACATAAGACTGAGAAAGCTTTTAGAATCTCTAGGGGAAGCAAATATACTGTACACGTTTCTGACTCCCTGCAGGAAGTGTGTGTTTGGGCTATCGGACTACTAACTGCTTCCAGTCCGTAAGGAGGGAGCGTGGAACTCAGGAGACCTAGCCTATTCCCAGCTCTGCCACTGCTCTGCTGGGAAAGTCACTTCACCTCTGTGTCCTTATTTCCCCATCTGTAAAATGGGGATGATACTGGCTTTCCTTGTAAAGTGCTTAGAGCTACTGATAAAAAGCTAGGTATTATTATTACCCTGTATGGGATCAGAAGAAAACATAACAAAGAGAAAGCGATATCTGAACGAAGATAGAGGCGCTCATGTGCCTCCAAATGTAGAATTGTACAGAGCTGAGTTCAGTGTTAAAAGCCAAGTTTGCTTTATTAGGTGTTCAGTCAGCCATATTCTACCCGGCAAAATTCCAAGTACCAGAATAACACTTAACTTCAAAGTGCTCTACAGACATTAGCTGATTAAATGCAAAGGAGTCTGAAATGTTTAATTTAGATGCAGCAAAAAGATTGCTTGGTTCTCAGAACAGGGAAGGTAGCAGCAGATTCCTTGATATGGAAGGCGACTGGAAGACAATGCAGAGACGCCAGGAGGGTAGGGAAGATGATTTGAGGACATGCAATGCCAGAGCTGTGCAGGGAGAAGCTCACATGCAATCCACCCACAATATGCCTGCCTCTAGCCACTGTTCTCAATCTCCCACTTTCAGGAGCTATAACGTTAAACCAGAGACAGAGAACATGCAGCACTCTTTGCCCTCTTACATATTCTTGCACAGGAAACAACACCTGCACTCCAGACACTTCTTAAATACTGCCCAAACTTCCGGGCGATCAGTTCCTTCATCTCCTTTACTCTGTGTGTCTTTCACTGTGTTCCACATGCTTGGAACTGAATCTGAGAGATGTGCGCACCAAACTCCTTCCCCTTTCCTTCTTTATAAAGGACTGTTCTATGATAAATTCCGTTCTAAGTAACCCTGGGTCGTTGTGTTTGTTTTGAATTGCAACCTCTCTAGGAGAGCGACATAACTATCTGACACAGATCACCTATTGTACTGCACTGTGTCCATTGCAGAAATAACCATAATAAAAATTATTACAGAAGAGACAATTCAGTTTTGCAGAGTGGAAGGAGGCAGAATTAGAATAACTATGAGATGCAGAGTAAAGGGAATTATCACATCAAAAATAATTTGAAAGAGTCTTATTTTATAAAAAGCCTTTAGTAGATTCTTAAAACAAAGGATTTGAAATCTGTTTACTATGTGTGTTTCACTCAGTCCCAGGAAGAAAATAACCTAGACATTTTCATTTAGGGAAGGTGTTAGTATGCTTCTATTCAGTTTCACTTGCTGGTTTTCATGCACTAGCACCATGCTACAAAGCCGAGGGAAACAATGGGAGAAACCTTGTTACAAAAAAAATCCCCCTCCCCTCCCCAAATTAAACAAATAAATATTTCTATTGATCTCAGGTTTTGTAAAAGCTAATTTTTAATCCATGTTTCTAATAAATTCACATGTATAAAGGCCCTTTAGTATCCCAAGCAAGACCATCTATGCTAGGTTGTTCTCTTGAGACTGTTAGCATTAATGGAACCCAAAGGCCTGACACTGCAACCGGATCCACACAGTTGGACCCTTGCACCTGCACAGAGTTTCACCTGCGTGGATCCAGTTGCAGGATCTGTGCCCAAGCTTCAAGCATCTTTTGAAAGAGACATTTAGCTACTTGTAAACATCCACCTACCGTCTCAGATTTCTTGTTTCAAACACTGTGTCTTCATCGCTGTCGAGAGAACCCAACTCCATATTTTCATCATAGTTTGAAAGGAGACCATATTTCTTCCGCTGAGGTTTCTTCAACCTGAAATCAGTTTTGAGCTCATTCACAGGTTCTTCTGATCTAGAACTTTCATTCACAGACCCTGACGTATGCTCCCTTTTGCATACAATGGCATGAGCTCATAAGGACAGGAGAGGCCTGGTTAGCAGAAAGGGCAAAGTGAACAAAAACAGGGAATCGGGATGTTTTGTCTGTGGACTATTACATACTCTCAGGTTTGCTGCTGGATAGCACATAGTTTGGCTTCAGTGGTCATCACCTGTAGAGTAGCTCAAAAATATCACCCCTAAGTCTGCATACCACTGCCAATGGGGGATATTAGTCAGAAAGATTGTATCGGAAAATTTCTTTGGTGCTTTCTAAGGAGTGAATTTTGACCAAAATAGTTATACTAGTGTAACTCCCTGTGCATGTACTCTTATTCTGGATTCTGAGTGCCTTTTTTTCAATTCAGTTTCCATGTCACTTTGACCAGGTCTACGCTTAGGACTTTTGCTGGCACAGTAATGCCAGTTAGGGGTGTGATTTTTTAATGACATTTCTATACCAGTAAAAGCCATAGTGTAGACAATCATAACAGAAAAAAGTGCTTTTATGGGCATATGCTGTGTCTACATCAGTAGGGCTTGCTAAAAGAGCTATACCAGCAGATCTCTTCTAATACAGGCAGCCATCCAAAAGGGGCTTAAGCTAAACCAAAAAAAGCCACTCTCATGCCAGGATAAGAATATCCATATAGGCAGTTAGACTGGTAAAACTTTCCTGTGTGGACAAGCCCTAAAACAGGAAAAGATTTCACCTGCTTCAGAGAGGCAACTGTATGAGGATAAAAAATGTTACAACTCGTTGGGATAACCGGGTGGAATGCTGGACTCCGTCTCTCACCTCAGGCCCTGAGGCACAAAGGACAACCACTCTGTCCCTGCTACACCAGTGCGGGGATAAAGACTATCGCCAGAGAAGGGGATGGCAGTGTCTCAGGGGACATTTTTTCTATCAATCCCCAGACTCCTCTCAGCTTTTACAGCAGAAATACAGAGCTACTACCTTCACGGAGCCCACACTCATCAGAAGACAGTGGGGTTTTGGAGAAGCCGCTTTCTCATGAATTACGGGATGTCTTAAGCAACAGGAGAAAGATGCCAGAGTTCCCAAGAGAAACAGAAGAATGTAGGCATGTTTAAGGGCATGGCGTAATCTTTCTAGGGATTGCAAAAGGCTCCAGCATTTCCTCACCCTGACTAAAGCGTCCAAAGGGAAAACAGAAAATCCACAAAGGATGACAGATGCATGAGAGAGCCATGGCTCTCCCAGAAGCCTTCCTAGGGGTGTGGGTGTGTGTTTATTTCTGGGGAAAGTGAGTCTAGGATGGTCCCATGTCTGTTTCCCAGGAACATGGGGTGGGGAGGGGAGCCACGGAGGTTCCCAAGCCTACCTCCTGGGGAGATAGGGATAAGGACCCCACCCCTGTTCATATCCCCCCAAAGACACTCCATGGGGTGAAGGAGGTGCTCCAGGGGATGGGGGTCTAGGGGCCCCCCGGGTCCGCCCCCCGGGTGCGCGCCCCACTCACCGCAGCGCCCGCACCAGGAAGTAGAGCGCGGCCAGCGCGCAGAGGCCGGTGAGCACGTAGAAGCCCCGTTGTACCGCGGGGAACCGCCCGCCCAGCAGGTCCAGGCCTCGGATCCCGCTGTCGCTGTGGTTCCCGGCCGGCCCGGTCCCGTTGGCGGCGGTGCCCGGGGGCGGCGCGGTCCCCGCCGGCCCGGGGGAGCTGGACACCGCGCAGGCGCCGAGCAGGAAGAGCAGGAGGAGGAGGAGGCAACCGAGCTCCCGCGGGACCATGGCGGGCGCACGGCAACTACCGGGACACGCGCACCTCAGACTCAGAACGAGGCCAACCCATCGGAAATGGCCCGGCCCGGCGCAGCGCTGGCTGGGGTCCGGCCGGGGACTATGGAGCCCGCACACGGGGTTCCGGGAACGCAGGGTTCCGGGTAGGGTACAGAGTAGGGTAGGGGTGTCGGAGCAGTGGGGACCCGCAAAGGGACTCCAGGGTGCAGAGTGGAACAGGGGGAAACAGGGTGCAGAGGGGAGAAGGGTATGGAGCCAAAGGGGGAGCAGGGAGTATCAGGAAGCAGAAGAGAGGTGCAAAGGGACCCCAGGGTGCAGAGGGGTATGGGGCCATGGGGGAGCAGTAGGGTTGCCAAGCGTCTGGTTTTTTACTGAAACGCCCAGTCGAAAAGGGACCCTAGCGGCTCCGGTGGGTGGCGCAACGGGGGGGCCGGGGCTGGGGCTGGCTCCGCACGACTCCCAGAAGCGGCCGCCAGATCCCACAGCCTCCATTGGTCGCGGTTCCTGGCCAATGGGAGCTGTGGAGCTGGCACTTGGAGCAAGGGCAGCGCACAGAGCCTCCCTGGCCGCCCATGCGCCTAGGGGCTGCAGGGCATTTGAAAGGATGGACCACGGGTATCTCCTGGGCACTCTGCAGGCGTTCGGCTTGGGGCCCCAATTTGTGGGTTTTCTCCAGGTGCTGTACACCTCCGCGGAGTGTTTGGCCAGGCTCAACAGGACCCTGACGGAGCTGCTCAGCTTCGGGCGGGGGGGGGTGGGTGTGCGTCAGAGGTGTCCACTGTCGGGCCAGCTGTATAATCTGGCAGTCGAGCCCTTCCTCTATCTCCTCCGTCAGAGGTTGACGGGGTTGGTGCTCCGTGAGCCGGAGTTGCAGCTGGTCCTGTCGGTGTACGTCGATGACGTGCTCCTCATGGTCCAGGACCCGGGCGATCAGATGCGGGTGGAGGCCTGCCAGGCAATCTACTCGGCGGCCTCCTGCGCCCGGATCAACTGAGTCAAGACCTCTGGCCTGATGGTCGGGGATGGGTAGCAGACGAGCTCCCTCCCACCCGCGCTTCAAGCCATTCAGTGGAGCACAGGTCCACTGCTCTATCTCGGCATTTGTTGTCCCACAAACTTATACAGGATCGTTTTAGGGGTCAAGGCAAAGATGCCACATTTATTATTAATCTGTAACTATTAGCAAATACCTTAATGCTTATACACATACACTCACACACACACACACACACACACACACACACACACACACACACCAAAATGTTCTGCAGCTGCTGGATAGTTACC